ATGGGAGAAGATAGGGATGGATATTCAAGGGCATTGGAAGCAGCACGTAGGGGAAGGAAGCACTTTTTTTTTTGAGACGGAGTCTCGCTCTGTCACCCAGGCTGGAGAGTGCAGTGGCGCGATCTCAGCTCACTGCAAACTCCGCCTCCCGGGTTCACTCCATTCTTGGCTCAGCCCCAAGTGCTGCTGGGACTACAGGCGCCCGCCACCTCACCTGGCTAATTTTTTGTGTTTTTAGTAGAGACGGGGTTTCACTGTATTAGCCAGGATGGTCTCGATCTCCTGACCTCATGATCCGCCTGCCTCTGCCTCCCAAAGTGCTGGGGTTATAGGCGTGAGCCACTGCGCCGGCCAAAGGGAAGCAAATTTATAGCCGACAGACCCCAGCTGCTCCACTCAGTGCAGCTGAGTACATTGGGCAGCATGGTAGCCAGGTGGCTCTCCCTGCCTGAAAGAACTTGATCAGCTGGGAGGACTTCAGCTGGTCTCAGTCTAAAGTGTGTAGCACCTTCAGCAGCGCTGATTTGGATTGATGTTACCTTCATTTTATGCAGCCTTGACCAATGACTAGTTGCCGGGTAGGGACTAGAGCCTGGCCATTTCTGCCCAATGTGGACACCTCTAAAGTCAATGTGCTAACCTGTTTATTTGTTTATTCAATTACTTTTGGCTATGCCAGACTCAAGCCTGTAATCTCACCGCTTGGGAGGCTGAGGCGGAGGATCTTTTGAGGTCAGGAGATCGAGACCATCCCACTCAACATAGTGAAATCTCATCTCTACTAAAAATACAATAAAATAAAAAAATTAGCCGGGCGTGGTGTGCATGCCTTTAGTCCCAGCTACTGGAGGCTGAGGCAGGAGGAATCCCTTGAACTGGGAGGGAGACTGGGGTGGTGAGCTGAGATCGCACCACTGTGCTCCAGCCTGGGTGACAGATTGGGACTCTGTCTCAAAAAAAAAAAGCAACAAAAAAAATTTAATTATTAATTACGGTTTATTTATCTATTTTGAGACCGGTCTTCACTGTGTTGCCCAGGCTGGAACACAGTGACACGATTCTGCTCACTGCAAGCTGCAGTTTTCTGAGTTCACGCCATTCTCCTGCCTCAGCCTCCTGAGTAGCTGGGACTACAGGCGCCTGCCACTGCAAGCCTCCGCTATTTTTTTGTATTTTTAGTACAGATGGGTTTTCACCTGCAGCACAGATGGTCTCGATCTCCTGACCTTGTGATCCACTCCACCTCGGCCTCCCAAAGTGCTGGATGACAGGCGTGAGCCACCATGCCTGGCCTAATTTCTAAGCATTTTAAAGTACACCCGGGTGTTGTTTAGCACATTCGCAATGTTGTGCAATCATCGCCCATTTTAGTTCCAAACAGTTTCATAATCATAAGGAAACTCCAATTAAGCAATCATTTCTCATCCTCCTCTTTCCATCCCTTGCAACCACTGACTTTTGCTTTCAGTCTCCATGGACTTGTATGGTGATCTTTGCACCACATCTCCCAGCTGACCTGACTGGGGGTTCTCTCAGAACTGCACATGGTCTGTGATTCTCTTCCACTCAGCCTTTCCAGTGTCAGACCCAGACCCACTCACGTCACAGTCTGAAGTCTCTTCCAGCCACTCCCAGTCTTTCTCCTCCTTTTTTTTTTTTTTTTTTGTATTTTTAGTAGAGACGGGGTTTCACCATGTTGCCCAGCTGGTCTCGAACTCCTGACCTCGCGATCCGCCCACCTCGGCCTCCCAAAGTGCTGGGATTACAGGCTTGAACCACCACGCCGACCTTTCCTCCTTTAGTTTCACCTAACCTCATCCCCAATCAATCTCTTGCATTTCTTTTCTCTCTCCTTCCTTCCTTCCTTCCTTCCTTCCTTCCTTCCTTCCTTCCTTCCTTTCCTTCCTTCCTTCCTTCCTTCCCTCCCTCCCTCCTCTCTCTCTCCCTCCCTTCCTTCCTTCTTCTTTTTTTTTTTTTTTTGACAGAGCTCTGTTTCCTGCCATAGGAGGTAGACATCTTACATGCACCTACTTCCCTGGATTCAAGCGATTCTCCAGCCTCAGCCTTGAGTAGCTGGGATTGCAGTACGCCACCGCGCCCAGCTAATTTTTGTATTTTTAGTAGAAACAGGGTTTCACCATAGTGGCCAGGCTGGTCTTGAACTCCTGACCTGCCAGGTGATCCACCGCCTCAGCCTCCCAAAAATGCTGGGATGATGGGTGGGGCCACCGGGCCCGGCCAGAGGCCTTTCGGTCCCACGGGATAACCCCAACAAACCCTCACAATTGCCTGAAGGCAGACCATCATGATCCTTGTTTTGCAGACAGGAAAACAGAGGTCCGAGATCCTATCCCTAGAGGTGTACATCCTCCTGGGAAGGTTCCGAGATCTTCGCGTTTCCTAGACTTCTATGACCTCCCTGGGGAAACTTCCCAGGCAGGGACGTAGACATCTAGGCTACAAAAATAAAATAGCCGGGCGCGGTGGCTCAAGCCTGTAATCCCCAGCACTTTGGGAGGCGACGGCGGATCACGAGGTCAGAAGATCGAGACCATCCTGGCTACCACGGTGAAACCCCGTCTCTAATAAAAACTACAAAAACTAGCCGGGATGGTGGCGGGCGCCCGTAGTCCCAGCTACTCGGGAGGCTGAGGCAGGAGAATGGCGTGAACCCAGGAAGCGGAGCTTGCAGTGAGCTGAGATCCGGCCACTGCACTCCAGCCTGGCGACAGAGCGAGACTCCGTCTCAAAAAAAAACAAAACAAAAATAAAAATAAAACCAGTCCCCATCACCAACTAGAGGTGAAGTTTCCCCAATATGAAAGTGCAATGTCATCTTTCTTAGAGGAAAAGCTGGCTGAGCCAGGCTGCGCCTTTCCGGAAGGACCCTTAAGGCCCAGATACCCAACCCACTGTGGGCCCGTGGTGTGACAGGGCCTACCCTAAACGCCTGAAAGAGCCCGCCAGGCTGGAGCCCTGTCCCCAGCCTCCCGGAGGGTCCAAGCAGGTCACGAAGCACCGGGGACACCAGTGAGCCAAACCCATCTTTGTAGTGCCAGACACCGAGTTGAGTATGAGACTACAGCAGGGACAAGTCTTCCTTAGGATTACCTGGCCTTTTCATGTTTATTATTATTAATATTTTGAAGAGGGAGTGGGACTCCAGCCAGGTGGCAAACACAGGGCAGGGCAGGAGAACAGTGTCCAGGGCTGACGAGGAGCAGGTAGCACGATGTGCCTCCCTTCCTGGGCCTCCCCATAGCCTTGTGTGACTTCCTCTAGGGGAGTTGTCATCTGCTGATTATCTGTGTTGCCTACAGACAGGGACCTCTGGCCTGAGGGCAGGGATGGCTCAGATTCATGTCTGGGCAAATGGAGACTTCCGAAAGAAGTGGTGGAGGATGACCAGACCCAGAGGAGAGGCGTTTGGAGCAGAAGGGGTGAGGGTGGTCTTGGAGAGCTTTGTTTCCTCTACTAAACACTGACAGGATTTATTTTATTTTATTTTATTTTTTATATTTATTTTACTTTATTTTATTTTATTTTATTAATTTTTGAGATGGAGTCTCACCTGTCGCCCAGGCTGGAGTGTAGTGGCGCGATTTCAGCTCAATGGGTGTGCTCTGGCCTGCCAGGTTCAAGCGATTCTCCTGCCTCAGCCTCCCGAGTAGCTGGGACGACAGACATGCGCCATCACACCCGGTGAATTTTTGTATTTTTAGTAGAGACGGGGTTTCACTGTGCTGGCCAGGCTGGTCTCAAACTCCTGACCTCATGATCCGCCCGCCTTGGGCTCCCAAAGTGCTGGGATTACAGGCGTGAGCCACTGCCCACACTGAGCCAATTTTTTTGTATTTTTAGTAGAGACGGGTTTTCACCATGTTGGCCAGGCTGGTCTCGAACTCCTAACCTCAGGTGATCCACCTGCCTCAGCCTCCCAAAGTGCTGGGTCTACAGGTGTGAGCCACCTTGCCCAGGTGACCCTGGCTGTTTAAAAAATAAAAAAATAAAATAAAGGAATGAAACACTAATACATACTACAACATGGATGAATCTCAAAAACATTACACTGAGCATAAAAGACACCAGACAGGGGCTGGGTGCGATGGCTCCCACCTGTAATCCCAGCACTTTGGGAGGCTGAGGCAGGTGGATCACTTGAGGTCAGCAGTTTGAGGCCAGTCTGGCCAACATGGTGAAACTCTGTGTTTATCAAAAAATGCAAAAATTAGCCAGGCATTGAGGTAGGCACCTGTAATCTCAGCTACTTGGGAGACTGAGGCATGAGAATCACTTGAACCCAGGAGGTGGAGGTCCCAGTGAGCCAAGATTGCACCACTGCACTCCAGCGTGGGCGATAGAGGGAGACTCTGTTTCAGGAAAAAAAAAAAAAAAAAAAAAAGGCCGGGCATGGTTGCTCACGCCTGTAATCCCAGCACTTTGAGAGGCTGAGGCGGGTGGATTACCTGAGGTTGGGAGTTCGAGACCAGCCTGGCCAACATGGTTAAACCCCATCTCTACTAAAAATACAAAAATTAGCCAGGTGTGGTGGCGCATGCCTGTAATCCCAGCTACTCAGGAGGCTGAGGCAGGAGAATCACTTGAACCCAGGAAGCAGTGAGCTGAGATTGCGCTACTGCACTCCAGTCTTGGTGACAGAGAGAGACTCCATCTCAAAAAAAAAACCAAAAAAAAAACAAAAAGAAAGAAAGAAAGAGGCGATGGTTGCATAACATTGGGAGTGCACTAATGTCGCTGAGTCGCACATTTTTTTTCTTTTTTCTGAGACAGAGTTTTGTTCTTGTCGCCCAGGCTGGAGTGCAATGGCACAATCTGGGCTGACTGCAACTTCTGCTTCCTGGGTTCAAGGGATTCTCCCGCCTCAATCTCTGGAATAGCTAGGATTACAGGCGCCTGCCACCACACCCAGCTAATTTTTGCATTTTTAGTAGAGATGGGGTTTCACCATGTTGGCCAGGCTAGTCTCAAACTTCTGATCTCAGGTGATCCGCCCGCCTCGGTCTCCCAAACTGCTGGGATTACAGGCATAAGCCACAGCGCCTGGCCGAATCATACACTTCAAAATGGCTAATGTTATATGGATTTTACATCCATTAAAAGAAACAAGGTGGCATACTGAGGGAGGAGGCGGCTGGGACTTCTGTGTCTAAGGGAAGAGTTCTGGGGGTCTGGACTCTCGCATCTTGGGGAAGGAGGAAGGAGTTGGAGCTTGGACTCCTGGGTCCCCAAGGGTGGAGGCTCAGACCTGAGTCCAGGGGAGGACAGGGCTGAGAGTTTGGATGTTGAATACCCAAAACTAGAGGAAGGAAGTTAGGGGCCCCCAAAGCTAAAGTGCTGCCTGTTAGGTTCTAAGGAGACAGGACACAGTGGTTTGGGGATAGACAGCCCTTAGGAAGTGGCCATGAGACCAAAGGACCCAGGCAGTCCTGCAGCCTGGACTTTGCCTCTGCAGGATGTCTGCCTGAGCCCCACCCCAAATGCCAGCCCTTCTTCCCCGAGCTCACCCAGCCCCACCCCCAGGACTGAGAGCCCCAGGAAGCTTGGAGAGGTGAGCATCCTGGGGAGACCCTGGAGGCTGGCAAGTGCACGGAGGGGCTGGGAGAGCAGGGAGAAACTCCCCAAGCAGGAGGATGTGTGAGCTAAGACTGAATACTGAAACAGGTGGAGAAATTGCCTGGAGTGGAGGAGAGCCGGCTGATTAGATCAGACCCCCTCCTGTGACTTCTGCTTGAGAGCCAATGGGGGCCCAGAGGCCACGGCCACAATCTCATGCACCTGCGCCCTCTTCAAGGTGCTGGTTCTTCAGGTGTGAAGGGGAGGAGAGAGAGAGAGGAAAGAGAGGGGCCTGGCTTCAGCCCCTCATTCCCCTGCAGAGCCTAGCATGTGAGGCTTACCTGTCCCTGTCCCTGCTAGCTGGGCTATCTCGGGGTTTGGACCTCGTGAATGTCAGAGGCAGGGACTCCAGAGTCTAAAGAAGGAGGGCCTAGAGGTCTGACCCTGGGTTTGAGGGAGGAGGGACTGAGGGACTGGACTCCTGGCTCCTGGGAAGAAGGAGGAGGCCATGACCCCAAATCCCTAAGTACCAAGCCGGGAAGAGGTCAGAAGCTGAAGGTGGCTGTTGGGAGAGAGAAGGAAAAGGGTCAGGTGGCAGAAGCAGTCTTTGGCTGGCTGGAGGGATTTTCGGATGGAGATGTCATCGCTGAGAGCTCCCTTCCCACCCACGCTCAGCCTGCCTGGGGAACTCCAGCAGGGAAAAGGGGAAGGGTGAGAGGAAGGAGAAGGAGAGCGGAGGGGAGGAGGCGGGGTCATCAGGGCTCCGTATCTCACAGACCAGAAACAGAAGCTGCACCCAGAGAGCAGGCCGACCTGAGGCCCTCACTCTTGGGTACCCGAGTAGGTAAGAGCTGGGAGGGTGGACCTCAGAAGCTGGAGAAGAATATCTGTATTCCAGGAGGAACTGGGGCCCTGGAATTCTGGGTCTTCCAGGTTGGAGAGAGCTGGAGGCTCAGATTCCTGGTTCCTGGGGAGGGAAGGGCTGAGACTTTGGACGTTGAACCCACAAAGCTAGAGGAAGGAAGTTAGGGGCCCCTGAAGCTAAGGTGCTGCCTGCTAGGTTCTGAGGAGACAGGACATGGTGGTTTGGGGGTAGAGAGCCCCTCAGGAAGTGTGGGTCAGACCCAAGACCCCAGGCAGCCCTCCAGCGATCCAACCCGGACTTTGCCTCTGCCTTGGCCTGCCTGAGCCCCATCCCGAATGCCAGCCCTTCTTCCCCAAGCTCACCCAGCCCCAGTCCCAGGACTGAGAGCCCCAGGGAGCCTGGAGAGGTGAGCATCTCAGGGAGGCCCTGGAGGCTGGGAGGTGCAAGGAGGGGCTGGGAGGACAGGAAGAAACTCCCCAAGCAGAAGAATGCGTGAGATAGGGTTGAACACTGCGAGATAGGTGGGGAAATTGCCTGGAGTGGAGAGCTGGCCAATTAGATCAGACCCCCACCCGTGACTTCTGCCTGAGAGCCAAGGGGGGCCTAGTGGTTGGGGCCACAATCTCATGCACCTGGGCCCTCCTTGAGGGCTGGTTCTTCAGGTGTGAGAGAGACAGGTGTCCTGCCTCAGCCCCGCTCCTTCACCTGCAGAGCTCGGCATGTGGGGCTACTTGTCGCTGATGCCCATCTTCCTAGCTGTCTGGGCTATCTCTGGCGTCTGGATCGTGTGAGTGTCAGAGGCATGATGGACTCCTGGGTCTGAGGGTGGAGGGCGCTGGGGCCTGGATTTCTGGGTCTGAGGGAGGAAGGGGTTGGGGGCCTTGACACCTGGGTCTGAGGGAGGAGGGGCTGGGAGGTCTGGACTCCCGGGTCTGAGGGAGGAAGGGCTGGGGGTCTGGACTCCCGGGTCTGAGGGAGGAGGGGCTGGGGCCTGGACTCCTGGTCTGAGGGAGGAGGGACTGGGGCCTGGACTCCTGGTCTGAGGGAGGAGGGGCTGGGGGGTCTGGACTCCTGGGTCTGAGGGAGGAGGGGCTGGGGGGTCTGGACTCCTGGTCTGAAGGAGGAGGGGCTGGGGGTCTGGACTCCTGGGTCTGAGGGTGGAGGGGCTGGGGGTCTGGACTCCTGATCTGAGGGTGGAGAGAGCTAGAAGTCCTTGTTTGTTTGGTCAGAAGGAAAAGTTGTTGGTGAGAGTCGCTCACTCACTCTGATTTCCCCCGTAGTTTTGCCATTGCAGTGACCAACAGGACGGTGGACCTCAGCAAAGGCTTTCCCTACATCAGGTAGTCCTGCCCGAGGGTAGGGATTTGGGGGTACTGCCGCTGCAGGAAAGTGGGGCCCTGGCTTGGATGGCCCAGGATGACCCCTTTGTCTTCCCCAGCATCTGCGGATCCTTCCCCCCTCAGAGCTGCATCTTCAGCCAGGTGCTCAATATGGGAGCTGCTCTGGGTAAATATTGCTTAGCCCTTTGGTTCAGTGCTCCCCAGCCCCGCCAAGCGAGCTCCCAGACGGCTCCTTTCTCAAACCCAGGAGTCCATGCCCCAGGCCCCTCCTTCCCCCAAATCCGGGAGTTTGCCGCCTTCTCCCTCACTTTGTTCCCCTCTCTTCCCTCGCTGGGTCCCAGGAGTCCCGGGTGGGTCTCCCTCCTACTTCCTTCTCCCCTCTCCTCCCAGCCGCGTGGATCTGCATTGTCCGTTACCACCAGCTCCGGGACTGGGGCGTCGGAAGGTGGCCTAACCAGCTGATCCTATGGACGGGTCTTCTCTGTGCCCTGGGCACCTCCGTGGTAGGCAATTTCCAGGTGAGACGCAGTCGGTGCCCAGAGTCTGCCCTCTCCGGCATCTGGAACTACAACTCCCAGCATGCCCCGCGGACATAGGCTTATTGTCTCGCGGCTAGTTCCCGCGCGGCCTCCTGGGACTTGTATTTTTCTTTGGCCAGTGGCCTTGGACCGGCTGGATTCCTTTGCTTTCTGAATGGGGCACTCCCAACGAGGCTGTTTGTATGTCGGACTTCTTTGACTTCGAGGAGGTTGGGATAATTTTCTGCCAGCCCCTCTCCCCAGCTCATTTAATGATGAAATTACTGGGCCAGGCGCAGTGGCTCACGCCTGTAATCTCAGCACTTTGGAAGGCCGAGGCGGGCAGATCATTTGAGATGAGGAGTTCGAGATCAGCCTGGCCAACATGGTGAAACCTCGTCTCTACTAAAATATACAAAAAGTAGCCGGGTGTGGTGGCAGGCGACTTAGTCCCAGCTACTTGGGAGGCACAGGCAGGAGAATCATTTGAACCCGGGAGGTGGAGGTTGCAGTGAGCCGAGATCGAGCCATTGCACTCAAATCTGGGGGATAAGAGCGAGACTTCCCTAAAAAAAAAAAAAAGATGAAATTACTGGCTGGGCTCTGTGGCTCATGGCTGTAATCCCAGCACTTTGGGAGGCCAAGGCGGGTGGATCACCTGAGATCGGGAGTTGGAGACCAGACTGGCCAACATGGTGAAACCCTGTCTCTACTAAAAATACAAAAAATTAGCCAGGGGTGGTGGCAGGTGCCTGTAATCCCAGCTACTCAGGAGGCTGAGGCAGGAGAATCGCTTGAACCCAGGAGGTGGAGGTTGCAGTGAGCCAAGACCATGCCATTACACTCTAGCCTGGGCCACAAGAGTGAGACTCAGTCTCAAAAAAAGAAAAGAAAAAAGAAAGAAAGAAAGAAAGAAAAGAAAAGAAATTACTGAGTCTGGGCACAGTGGTTCATACCTGTAATCCCAGGACTTTGGCAGGCGGAGGCTTGAGCCCAGGAGTTCAAGACCAGCCTGGACAACATAGCAAGACTCTGTCTCTACAAAAAATAATTAGCCAGGTGTGGTGGCGTGACCCGCAGTCCCAGCTATGCAGGAGGCTGAGGTGGGAAGATAGAGGATTGCTTGAGCCCAGGAGGTCGAGGCTGCAGTGAGCTGTGATTGTGTCACTGCCCTCCAGCCTGGGGAACAGAGTGAGACCCTGTCTCAAAAAAGAAATGACTGAGATTTACTCATTCTTCATGTTAGGCAATTGACTGAACATCTGGCAGCCATTGGCAGCAGGCGTTCCATTTTGTACATGACTTCATTCCATCTCCATAAAGACTCTAGCTAGGTCTGTCCTTATTGCCCGTGGACCACAGAGAATATATATATGTGTGTGTGTGTGTGTGTATATGTGTATATATATGTACATATATGTGTATAGATGTACACACATGCACTTATATGTGTATAGATGTACACACATGTACATATATGTGTATAGATGTACATACGTGTACATATGTGTACAGATGTACATATATGTATGTGTATATATGTACGTGTGTGTATATACATATATATATATATATATGAGATGGAGTCTTGCTCTGTCACCCAGACTGGAGTGCGGTAGCATGATCTTGGCTCACTGCAACCTCCGCCTGCCGGGTTCAAGTGATTCTCCTACCTCAACCTACCAAGTATCTGGGACTATAGGCACCCACCACCACACCCGGCTAAATTTTTTTTGTTTTGTATTTTTAGTAGAGATGGGATTTCACCATGTTGGCCAGGCTGGTCTTGAACTCCTGACTTCAAATGATCCACCCGCCTCCGCCTCCCAATGTGCTCTGCAACTGTTTGTTTATTTATGTATTTGAGACAGAGTCTTGCCCTGTGGCCCAGGCTGGAGTGCAGTGGTGAGATCCTGGTTTACTGCAAATTCCATCTCCCGGGTTCAAGTGACTCTCCTACTTCAGCTTCCGGAGTAGCTGGGATTACAGGCGCTCACCACCACACCCGGCTAATTTTTGCATTTTTAGTAGAGACAAGGTTTCACCATGTTGGCCAGGCTGATCTCAAACTCCTGACCTCAAGTGATCTGCCCACCTTGGCCTCACTAAGTGTTGGGATTACAGGCATGAGTCACTGTGCCCAGCTCTCAACCTGTTGTTATTATCTTGTTCCTCTAAGGAGTATTTTTAGACATTTCCCCCTGGTTGTCCCCTCTTCCCATGATTTTTTTTTTTTTTTTTTTTTGAGACGGAGTAGTGGCCAGATCTCAGCTCACTGCAAACTCCGCCTCCCGGGTTCCCGCCATTCTCCTGCCTCAGCCTCCTGAGTAGCTGGGACTACAGGCGCCCGCCACCTCGTCCGGCTAGTTTTTTGTAATTTTTAGTAGAGACAGGGTTTCACCGGGTTAGCCAGGATGATCTCAATCTCCTGACCTCGTGATCCGCCCGTCTCAGCCTCCCAAAGTGCTGGGATTACAGGCTTGAGCCACCGCGCCTGGCCTCCCCATGAAATTTTAAGTATTTATTTTATTTATTTATTATTTGTTTGTTTATTTTTGAGATGGAATCTTGCGCTGTTGCCCAGGCTGGTGTGCGATGGTGCCATCTCAGATCACTACAACCTCTGCTTCCTGGGCTCAAGTAATCCTTCCGCCTCAGCCTCCTGAGTAGCTGGGATTACAGGCCTGAGCCACCATGCCCAGCTAATATTTGTATTTTTTTTTTTTTTTTCTTGAGACGGAGTCTCGCTCTTGTCACCCAGGCTGGAGTGCAATGGTACGATCTTGGCTTGCTGCAACCTCTGCCTCCCGGGTTCAAGCGATTCTCCTGCTTCAGCCTCCTGAGTAGCTGGGATTACAGGTGCCTGCCACCACGCCCGGCTAATTTTTTGTATTTTTAGTAGAGATGGGGTTTCACCATGTTGGCCAGGTTGGTCTCGAACTCCTGACCTCAAGTAATCTACCCACCTTGGCCTCCCAAAGTGCTGAGATTACAGGCGTGAGCCACCGTGCCCGGCAATATTTGTATTTTTTGTAGAGACAAGATTTTGCCATGTTGCCCAGGTGGGTCTCAAACTCCTGAGCTCTAAGTGACCCGCCTGCTTCACGTTCCAAAGAGCTGAGAATACAGAGGTGAGCCATCATACCAGGCCGAAATTTTAAGTATTTTAAAATTTTAATGGAATATTATGCTGTGTATCTGTGAGTCACATACAACTGTTAATATTTAAGAATTTTTCACCTGCAAGACCAATTTTTTTGGGGAAATATCTGTCCTCTGCCTTGAGAATGCAAGATGTATTCCACTCATATTTACAGAGCATTTGCTATGTGCCAATCAGTGTCCTAGGAATTGAGGCTATAGCATGAACAACAGATTTAAACGCCTGCCCTTGTGGAGCTGACAGTAGCCGACGTGCTTAACAAGCCCATCACTGGGTATGGAAAGTTGGCGATCACTGTCTACAACGTTGGTGAAAGGCCCTGGCCCTCTGGTGCCCCTTACCCTCCTTCCCAGAGTCTCCCTCCCAACTCCTCCCTTCTCCTCCCAGGAAAAGAACCAGCGGCCTACGCACTTAGCAGGGGCCTTCCTTGCCTTCATTTTGGGTAACGTCTACTTCTGGCTGCAACTCCTCCTGTGGAGGCTGAAGAACCTGCCCCAGCCCGGGGCTCCCTGGATCGGGCCACTCCGTCTGGGCCTCTGCAGCTTCTGCACCATCCTCATTGTGGCCAGTATCCTCCTTGTATCGGGGGTAGGGGTTGGGGGTGGCTCTTCACCGGAATCGGTCTTCCTGTCTGGCTGTGTGTCACTGGGGACGTCTCTTCCTTTCTCTGGGCTTCAACATTTGCACAGGATTATGGCTTTGTCGTCGAGAAGGCCGACTTTGGGGTCACGTTGTCCAGGTTGGAATGCCCTGTCCTCCACACACTAGCTGGGGGAATCTTCCGCGGGCTGTTACTTCTTGGTGTCAATGGTTTCCTCGTCCCTCAAATGTGGATAACGACAGGCTGACCTCAGGGTTGTGAGTGGATAGGATAATATGCACACGGTGCTTAGGTATGTGCCTGACATATGTAGAGTGATCAGTAAATACTGGAAGAATGATATACCAAGAACAGTCCCACGCCGGGCGCGGTGGCTCACGCCTGTAATCCCAGCACTTTGGGAGGCTGAGGTGGGTGGATCACAAGGTCAGGAGTTTGAGACCATCCTGGCTAACACGGTGAAACCCCGTCTCTACTAAAAATACAAAAAATTAGCCAGGCGTGGTGGCGGACGCCTGTAATTTCAGCTACTCAGGAGGCTGAGGCAGGAGAATGGCGTGAACCTGGGAGGCGGAGCTTGCAGTGAACCGAGATCCCACCACTGCACTCCAGCCTGGGGGACAGAGCGAGATGCCCTCTCAGAAAAAAAAAAAGAGACCAGGTCTTGCTCTGTTGCCCAGACTGGTCTTGAACTCCTAGCCTCAGGCAATCCTCCCACCTTGGCCTCTCACCTTGGCTCGGATTGTAGGCATGAGCCACCACTTCTCAGCCCCCTTAGAAATCCCTGAATGAATGGAATACACTGTCTGGGAGGGGTGAGGTGATGAGTGGCTCCAGTGAGAGAAGTTCCAGAAAACAAGAGCTGTCTCTGCTAGGCTGGAGCCTGGACCTGCAGGGGCTGGCAGAGCAGGAAAAGGTCTTGAGAAGCTGGTGGAATGCGAGAGCCAGAGAAGGGACGGGGCAGACAGGAGAGAAAGGTGCGACAGGAGAGGGCTGGAGAGAGATGGGTAAGGCAGACAGGACAAGACTTGGGGTGACCAGCTGGCCAAGAGGGATGAAGAGGGGGCCGGGAGTGTCTGCTGGGGCACATGAGTGGATGGTGGAGTTGTCAAGGAGGAAGGGACACTCAGAAAGAAATAGATTTTACAGGGAAGAGGGAAGAGATTAGACTCTGGGAGTGAGCAGGAGGTGCCTGTGGGCCTTGGGTAGCGGGGTGGATGTTCAGGAGAAAGTTACAAAGCACAGTCTGAGGCTGGCGGTGGGGAGGGAGGCATATTTAGGAAACTCTGCATGTTTGGAGGGAGGAGCAATGGCAGCTGGGTGTCCTGGACAAGTAGGTGTGCAAGCAGCTTGAGATAGAGACGGGCTGGAGAGCATCGGAGTTATGGAGGAAGGGGATAGCTGAGGATGGGGACACTCAGAGATGGCCTCCCCCCAGCGCGAGGGGGCACAGAGACCAGGCCGGGCTCCCCGTCTGTCATGGTAGCAGTGTGGCCCTTGACCCTGGGCAGTGATCGTCCTCCACGCCTGCTCGCTGCGCAGCGTCTCTGCAGCCTGCGAGTGGGCCGTGGCCATGCTGCTGTTCGCCCTCTTTGGTCTCTTCGCCGTTGACTTCTCCGTCCTGGAGAGCTGCACCCTGTGTGTTCAACCGTGGCCCAGCCTCAGCCCCCCGCCGGCCTCCCCCATCTCCCTGCCGGTCCAGCTGTAGCAGCCACCCTGACCTGGGCCTCGCCCTCACCAGTGAAGCAGGAAAGATGGGGCCAATCTCAGTGCCCCACACGCAGCAAGATGAGCCACTGGGGATCTCTCCGACCGGCTGGGGCTGCCGCTGACTGACCTGGAGCCGGAGGACCTGTGTGCCAGCGCGGAGGGCCTCTGAACAGCTGGTGGCAGCCAGCATCCCCGTCCCCGCCTTTGGGCCCTGCCCCTGCAATTGGGCACCCAGGAAGCGAGAGGCCAAGGCCAGCCAGCTGTCCCTGATCAAGGCTATTTATTATTATTATCTTTTTTTTTTTTTTTTTTTTTTTGCCGCCGGCGGAATCAGAGACACGGACGCAGGCAGGATCACGCGAAACCAGAATTCCTTCCGGAGAGCAAATCCGTACAGAAGGTCGTGAAGGGGAGGACCAGGGGAGGAGGGGCCCAGGAAGAGGGGGTTGGGGACGACACAGGGACAGAGGGCCCTGTCCGGATCTGCTAAGCCACCCCAACCAGCTCCCGTCCCTCCCCCACCCCACCCCGCAGAGAGATTGATCCATAAATAAAATAATAAATTAATCAATAAATAAAATAGAAACAGCTCCCCCGCCCCCTGTTCCCCTAGAACCACCCCCAGTTGGGCACGGCCCGCGGAGCCCCATCCCTGCAGGGCAAGGCCGGTTTTTGTGTCCACCCCCCTCCCGACATGTTCCTTGGGCCTTATTTACAGATTCACAGTTGGGGGGCAGGGAAGGGGGGTGGGGGGTCCCCTCCCTCCCCGGCCCCCTGGGGTCAGGGCAGAGGGGTCCCGTTGGTGGCCAGGAGCTTCTTGTCCTTGGGGGGGCCTCGGCGGGGAGAGCTGCTCAGCTCTGGGTCTGGGCGGCCGGGCGGGGGCTGCAGGCTTCGGGGTGGGGCACCAGCAGGCCGGGTCTGGGCCCCATTTTTCTCATCTGCAAGGTAGGAAGAGGTTTTTCGTGGGTTCCACAGCCCAGGGTTGGGGTTCCCATTACCAGGAGATGGGGGCAGAGTCTCCTTATCAGTCGGTCTCAGTGACCCTGAGGCTCCAGCTCCAATCCCCAGTAAGACCCAGTCCCTCCACCACCTGGCCTTGAAGCCTCCAGACTTGGTTACTCAGAGGACATACCCCAAGTGACAAGGCCTGGCTCCCCTAGGATGGGGGCTGCACCCTGTGCCCCCGCAACCCTGGGGCCAGGTTAGTCCAAGGGAGACCTGGGCTGGGCCTGACTTTAGGAGACTCTCAGATTCTGGTTCTGATACTATTTGTTAAGAAACAGCTCGCCAGGGCAGTGCTCGAAGTTCATAGCCAGAGGGCCCCCGACTCCTACCCTGGTTGTTAGAGAGACGTGTACACGGAAATGGGCTCAAGGGAGCCTCCTGGTAGCGGGGGTCTCAGGCCCCTCATGCTGGGCCAGCCTGACTCAGGTCATTCTCTCTGGGGTCCTGAGGCCACCTCCTCTTGGGGACTGTGGTGGAAACACTGGTTGCTGGGTGGTCTCTAGCAATTTCCATGGGACCCAGAATGTTACCTGAGGTCCCCTGGCAGAGACCTCGTTTTTCTTTTAAGACAAACTGAGGAGGCCAGGTGCGGTGGCTCACGCCTGTAATCCCAGCACTTTGGGAGGCCAAGACGGGCAGATCACAAGGTCAGGAGATGGAGACCATCCTGGCTAACACGGTGAAACCCTGTCTCTACTAAAAATACAAAAAAAGCAGGGTGTGGTGGCGGGCGCCTGTGGTCCCAGCTACTCGAGAGGCTGAGGCAGGAGAATGATATGAACCTGGGAGGCGGAGCTTGCAGTGACCTGAGATCGCGCCACTGCACTCCAGCCTGGGCGACAAGCCAGACTCTGTCTCAAAAAAAACTAAAAAACCAAACAAACAAAAAAACTGAGGGGGTGACTGGGCGTGGTGGCTCACACCTGTAATCCCAGCACTTTGGGAGGCCGAGGCAGGCAGATCATTTGAGGTCAGGAGTTTGAGACCAGCCTGGCCAACATGGTGAAACCCCATCTCTACTAAAAATACAAAAATTAGCCAGGTGTGGTGGCGGGCACCTGTAATCCCAGCTACTCGGGAGGCTGAGGTGGGAGAATCACTTGAAACCTGGGAGGTGGAAGTTGCAGTGAGCTGAGATCGCGCCACTGCACTCCAGTCTGGACGACAGAGCGAGACTCTGTCTCAAAAAACAAAAACTGGGGGGCTTGTCATAGCAACCACTATGACTTGGAGGCCTGGCCCCCCCTGCTCCATTCTCCTTTATGAGACAGGTGGTTGAGCCCCCGGGGTGCCTGTTAGTCCTACATCTTCGAGGGTGTGCCCCTTTTGAGACCCCTGGTTGCTGAGGCCAGCTTTCCTTGGCAACGGGGTCCAGTGGACCTAATTTGCTTTCTGGTTGCCCCTAGCAACCATGAGAGGAGGGTTTCTGCACCTCAGCACGATTGCCATTTGGGACCCAGCGGTCGTGGGGGGCCGTTCTGTGAACTATAGGATGTTCTGCAGCACCCCTGGCCTCCACCCACAAGAGGCCACTGGCATCCCCCTGCTTTCCCCAGTTGAGATGAGGAAAAGCATCTCCACACGTTGCTAAATGTCCCTGGGGGGTTGTGCTAGGCTGAGTAACAGCCCCCTCCGAAGATGTCCACATGCAAGTACCGAGAACTTGTGATACGTTCCCTGACGGAGCAGAAGAGACCCTGTGCTGTGGGGAAGGTTAGGGACCGTGAGGTGGGCGGTTATCTTGGAAGATTTGTGCAGGTCCCGCTGAGTCACCATTTTCCAGCTAAGTTCGGTCAGAGGGAAATATGGCATCACTGGCTTTGAAGATGGAGGAAGGGGCCTTAACCAGAGGAGTGTGGGCAGCATCAAGGAACTGGAACCCACAAGGAAACAGACTCTTCCCGAGAGCCTCCCGGAGGGAGCACAGCCCTCCAGGCACCCTGTGTTAGCCTGTGGAGACTGGGTTGGACGTCTGACCTCCAGGACTGTACAATAATCATCACTTGTGTTGTTTCAGCTCCTGAGGCTGTGTCATTTGTTGATGGCGGCCATAGGAAACACACACGGGTGAAACCAGCTCCCTGAGTTGAGAAGCATGGCTGCAGAGCCAAAAACCTGACCCTGGCACTCAGAGTTTCTGGTGACAAGGCCAAAGCTGCCCTGGTCCCTAGCCTCAACACTGGGCCCTGTTTCCCTTCGACAGGGGTCCAGGGTCCAGGAAGGGGCCTGGGCCCCATGAGGCTGATGCTGCCTGCCTTCCCTCAGAGCAGACGGCTGTCCATGTGCCCTGCAATGGGGCCCCGTACGCTGTTTCACCGCGTCCCCTGCGACCTTGTTCCTAGGGGAGGGACCGCCGTGGTCTCAGGAATGAGGGCTGATTTCTGGGGCCGGCGCTCTCTTCCCTTGAGAATTCTGGCTACCTCTGGTTGCTTGGGCGGGCGCACCCCATGCTGTGGACTGAACACGGCATCCTCCCAAATTCATGTGCCAAAACCCAACCCCAGGGAGATGGTATTAGGCAGTCAAGTTGGGAGGTGATTAGGTCATGAGGGTGGGGCCTTCATGAATGGGGTTAGTGTCCTTAGGAAGGAGGCCCCAGAGACTTCCCTTGCCCCTTCTGCTATGTGAAGACACAGCACAAACGTGCTGTCTGTGACCCAGGAAGCAGGTCTCACCAGACACCAAAGCTGCCGGTGGCTTATCTTGGACTTCCCAGCCTCCAGAATTGTCAGCAATAAATTTCTGTTGTTTGTAAGTTACCCAGTGTACAGTATTTTCTTATTGTAGCCTGAACACGCTAAGACACCTTTACAACGAACCTCTGCTGTGCCCTGATTGCTAGAGGATTTGAGTCTTTGATGACCAGGACTGGGAGCCCGGGAAGGCCGGATCCCCCAGAGCAAGATCTTGCACATTCTCATGAACTCAGCTTAGAATTCTGATTGCTAGGGACCATTCGGCCCCAGCCCCAGACTGAGGTGATGTCTGAGACCTGCAGAGAAGGTGGCCAATTTGTCTTGGGTTTAGACTCAAAGCCCTGCAACCCAGAAACACCCTTCAGTCCCAAGCAAACCAGGACGGTGGGTCACCCTCCTCCCAGACAGAGGTCCAGAACCTCTGTTGGCAGGATGTTCCACGACCCCCAACACAGAGCCTGTCGTCTTCTTAGGGACCCCTGGGAGCCAGTCCTCAGGTTGCTAGGGAGACCCTCCTCAGGCCCCAGCCTCTCGGGGAACCTGCTCACAACTCAGCAGATGAGACCTCAGCTATGACAATGGTGAAGGAGCCCACTAGCTGGGCCTCCTCTGCAAACCAAACCCCAGAGCACCTGCTCATGCTGGACCTCTTCCCACCACCCACGGTCCCCACCCCCCACGGGCCCCGCCCCCCACGGCCCCCTCCACCTATGGCCCCCACCACCCACAGCCCCTGTCCCCCACCTGCCAGGGCCTGCACGGAGGGCTGGTCATGCGTGCTCAGGAGTTGTGCCTGGATGGTCTCTACCACTCGCTTGAACCGACGGCTGGGACCTGGAGGGACAGGCGGGCAGAAAAACACTGACTGGGGGTCCAGGACGGGGAAGGCCGTCCCAGCCTGCAGAACCCAGTCCCTCCACCAAGCAAACCACCCTTCCCCTCTGTGTCTCCATCTCCCCTGCTCCGCTGGGGCCACATCAATCCATGGTGTGCAAATGGGTCTGTGCTGCTATTTAAGGAACACAGTCAAACTCACGTACCTTCAACTTCAAATAACAGGTGTTGGTTTCTATTCAAATAGTTACTATTGCTGGAGTTAAAAGTTTCTGAGGCTGCCACTGAGCTTAGCAGGAATAAGCACTGCCATCAATTGGTGATGTCTGCCCTGGGCCGACTGATATTAGCAGTGTGCTGTGTCTTCATCCTTTGGCTCTACCATTGTAAATAGGAAGAGCAGGGCTCTCTCCTCTGAAGTCGAGAGGCCTGGGTTGGGCTGTAACTCTACCACAGTGTATTGTGTGACTCTGGCCAAATCCATTGACCTCCCTATGACTCAGTTTTCTCCTCTGTAAAAT